ACCGCGTGGTCCAGCGGGGCCTGCAGCGCCCCCTGCAGGTGTTCAGGACGGACGGCAAGGGCTGGGGGCTGCGCACCCTGGCGTTCATCCCCAGAGGCCGGTTTGTCTGTGAGTACGCCGGCGAGGTCCTGGGATTCTCCGAAGCACAGAGGAGAATTCAGCGACAAACGGAACAGGACTCCAACTACATCATCGCCGTCCGGGAGCACGTGGCCGGCGGGCGGGTGATGGAGACGTTCGTGGACCCCGCGCGGGTGGGGAACGTGGGGAGGTTCCTGAACCACTCCTGTGAGCCCAACCTGCTCATGGTGCCCGTCCGCGTGGACTCCATGGTGCCCAGGCTGGCGCTGTTTGCAGCCAGAGACATCTCGCCCGGAGAAGAACTCTCTTATGACTATTCGGGAAGGTTTCTCAACCGCTCGGACGGGGGAGACAAAGGCAGGCCAGGCAGCGGGAAACCGAGAAAACCTTGTTTTTGTGGTTCCGCGTCCTGCGCCGCTTTCCTGCCCTATGACGCGTCCCTGTACTGCACCCCCGAAAAGCCGGCCCCGGGTCAGGAAGGGGAAGTGTAAGGGATGGGGACACGCGGGGCCTCTCAGTGGGAGAGCGAGGCGGCGGCCAGCGTGTGGCGTGGCCCTTCCTGGGTGCCCTCCAGGAACCTGGCCAGCAGCGGCCCCGCCCCGGGGGAGGCAGGCTGGCGAGTTTCACTCGGGACTGTGGCAGGGTCACCGGTTCCCTTTCTCCCGTCTGTGAGGGCATTCTCTGTTTTCAGTTGGACCCATGGCTGCCCAGCTAGAAACTGGGCCCTTTTCCTCGTTAGTTCTAGACAACGAGGCCTAAGCAAAGTGGCGAGTCCTTAAAGGAGGCCTCCCTCCTTTATCCCCTGCTCCTTCCAGCCGGCTGGGACGTGTGGGTGATGGCTGGACCCCAGGATCACCCTGGAAAGGAGCCACGCACAGCGCTGGGTGCCAGGAGCTGCGGGACACCCCGGGTGCCCCCATCTGCCCTCTGGCTCTGGGGTGAGCAGTAGCCTCTCCCCCGGTGTCATTTTGGTTTTCCAGCGCGAGCACCAAATCAACAGCCCAAGGAACCCCGGCCCGACCTGAGTGGAATACAGCTGACGGTGGTTGCCGTTTGCCTCCACCGGCATCCTACCTCTCACCTGTTTCTAAACAGGAATCGGAGAGAGGTGCGTGCTTATCACCTGCAAACCCGAGCATCCCACCATCGGGAAAACTATAGCCAGGACAGCAACTCCCATGGACACAACCAGAAATCGTAAAAGGAAAGCAGTTGTGAGGTTGCTCTGTGTACGTGGCTACCCTCCGAAGCTTCTGGAGTAAACATTCAACACTCCAGACAGCCTCACCTCGTCCCGGGTGGGTAACATGAAACACCACAGGCCCGTCACCACCACCACAGGGGATGGGAGGTGTGTGTTTCCATTTAAACTTCTGGAGGGGCTGCCCTGGCCAGCGTGGCTCAGTGGTAGACCTATGAACCAGGAGGTCATGGTTCGATTCCAAGTCAGGGCACATGCCCGGGTTGCAGGCTCCATCCCTGGTGGGCGGTGCGGTGGAGGCAACCGGTCGATGCTGAGCTCTCACATCGGTATTTCCCTCTCTCTCTCAAAAGCAATTTCTTAAAAATCTGTCCTTAAAAAAAAATAAAAATACTAGGGCGGTGCGGTGCAGGCAACCGGTCGATGCTGCGCTCTCACATCAGTATTTCCCTCTCTCTCTCAAAAGCAATACCTTAAAAATCTGTCCTTAAAAAAAAATAAAAATACTAGTGGAAGAGCATCTCTAAGTTCCTTTGTTAAAGCAAGGATGTTGCAAAAATGTTACTTATGGAGGTTTATTAGATGTTTTGAAAGCTAAAACATGTAGGCCCAATACTGTAGTATTATTTAACAAATTAAGCTCATTCTCCATCTCCACCTTCTTAAGAATCTAGAGATTGAGACTGGCAGACACCGCAGGACAGTTTTTTCCTGTGGAATAAAGTTTTGCAACCCCTTTCTACCCCGCCCTCTAGCCTCCCCACACCCACGGGACCCCTTTATAAAAAATTCAACTCCAGGTAGCACTGGTGCAAAACAGCAAAGAGCAATCTGGCCACTAGAGGGGGACATTACACGCAAAACCATTTCAGAGAAAAAAGAAGAAAAAGTTGCCAGCCCGCGTGGCTGGAATACGGGGCGGCTCACCTCCGAGGCCCCGAGCGGGAGGCTTCGGTAACAGACGAGGTTCCCAAAGGGCACGCGGTCCTGTCCTCCCCACGGTGAGCGTTTACACACACCCCGGAGCCCAGACCACGCTGACCTGGGAGCGGCCCTCGCC